GTTAACCCCTAGCCAGAGTTATCAAAAAGAAAAGAGAAAGGACCCAAATAAGTAAAATCATGAATGAAAGAGGAGAGATCACAACTCCACAAAAAATATTTTAAAAAATATAAGGGAGTATTGTGAAAAATTGTGTGGCCCAAATTGGGAAATAGAGAAGAAATGGATAAATTCCTAGAACACATAAACTATCAAAACTGAAATAAGGAACAAATAGAAAACTTGAAGAGACCAAAAACCACCAAAAAAATTGAATCAGTAATCACAAATCTAACAAACAAAAGTCCAGGGCCAGATGGCTTCACAGGGAAATTCTACCAGTCATTTAAAGAAGAGTTAATACCCATTTTCCTCAAACTTTTGCAAAAATAGAAATGGAAGGGAAACTTCCAGACTCATTTTACGAGGCCAGGCTTGCCTTGATTCCAAAATCAGACAAAGACCCCACTACGGGGGCACCTGGGTAGCTAAATCGGTTAAGCACTAACTCTTAGTTTCAGTTGAAGTCGTGATCTCAGGGTTGTGAGTTTGATCCCTACTCTGGACTCCACACTCAGTGTGGAGTTAGCTTGTTCCTCTCCCTCCTCTCTTACCCCTTCTCTCTCTCTTAAAAAAAAAAAAGACTAAAATGGAGAAGTGGAGAAGTATAAGCCTGTATCCCTGATGAACATGGATGCAAAAATTCTCAAGAAGATGCTAGCAGATTGACTCCAAGAATACATTAAAAGAATATTCATCACAATCAAGTGGGATTTATTCCTGGGCTGCAAGGGTAATGAAATATTTGTAAATGAATCAACATGATAGCACCATATTAATAAAGAATAAGAACCATATGACCTCTCAATAGATGCAGAAAAAGCATATGACAAAGTATAGCATCCTTTCTTGAAAAAAACCCTCAACAAAGTAGGGATAGAGGGAACATACCTCAACATCATAAAAGCCTTATGTGAAAGACCCACTGCTAATACCATCAATGGGGAAAAACAGTTTTTCCTTTTCAGTCAGGAAGAAGACAGGGATGGATGTCCAGTCTCTTCACCATTATTTGACATACCTGGAAGTCCTAGCCACAGGAAATAGACAAAAAAAATAATAATAAAAAGCATCCAACTCAGTGAGGAAGAATTAACTTTCACTATTCACAAATGTCATAATACTCTGTAGGAAGCCCAAACGACCCCACTAAAAATTCCTCGAACTGGTACATGAATTCAATAAAGTTGAAGGATACACAATCAATGTATAGAAACATGTTGTATTTCTAAACACCGTAATGAAGCATCAGAAAGAAATCAAGGAATCCATCCCATTTACCAAAAACCAAAAACCAAAAGATACTTATGAATAAACCTAACCACAGAAGTAAGAGATCTGCACTATGAAAGCTAGAATACTTATGAAAGAATTTGAAGAGGATACAAAGGAATTGAAAAATATCCCATGCTCATGTGTTGGAAAAACTAGTATTGTTAAAATGTGTATACCACCCAAAGCAATCTATACATTTAATGCATTCTCTATCAAAATACTATCAGCATTTTTCACTGAGCAAGAAAAAACAATCCTAAAACTAGTATGGAACCAAAAATGACTCTGAATAACCAAAGACATCTTGAAAAAGAAAAGCAAAGTTGGAAGCCTCACAATTCCAGACTTCAAGCTGTATTACAAAGCTGTAGCAATGACAACAGTATGTGACTGGCACAAAAACAGACACATAGATCAGTAGTATGGTCAACTAATCTTTGACAAAGCAGAAAGAATATCCTGTGGAAAAAAGACAGTCACTTCAACTCATGGTGTTGGGAAAACTGGAGAGCAACATGCAAAAGAATGAAACTGGACCACTTTCGTACACCAGATATTAAACTAAAATCAAAATGGGTTAAAGACTTAAATGTGAGACAGGAATCCATCACATTCCTAGAGGAGAACAAGGGAGAAGTGTCTTTGTCATCAGCCATAGCAACTTCTTTCTAGACACGTTTCAGGAGGCAAGGGAAAGAAAAGCAAAAATGAACTATTGGGACCTCTTCAAGTTAAAAAGCTTCTTCACGGCAAAGGAAGCAATCAACAAAACTAAAGGGCAACCCACAGAATAATAGATGATATTTGTAAATGACGTATCTGATAAAGGGTTATTATCCATAATATATAAGGAACTAACAAAAAGTGACACCCAAAAGCCAAATAATCCATTTAAGAAATGGGCAGAACACATGAATAGACATTTTTCCAAACAAGATCTTCAGAAGTCTGACATGTGTTAAAATATTCAACATCACTCATGATCAGGGAGGTGCAAATCAAAACCACAATGAGATACCACCTCACATCTGTCAGAATGGCTAAAATTAACAACTTAAAAACAACAGATGTTGGAGAGGATGTGGAGAAAGGGGAACCCTCTTGCACTGTTGGTGGGAATGGAAATTGGTATAGCCACTCTGGAAAACAGTATGGAGGCTTCTCAAAAAGTTGAAAATAGAACTACCCTAAGATTGAAGATTTCTACTAGGTATTTATCTAAAAGATACAGAATTACTGATTCAAAGGATCACTTGTATCCCAATGTTTATAGCAGCATTATCAATAATAGCCTAATTATGAAAAGTGACCAAATGGCTTTTGATGAATGGGTAGAGAAGAAGTGGCATGTGTATGCAATGTACTATTACTCAGCCATCAAAAAGAATGATATCTGGCCATTTGCAGCAATATGGATGGAGCTAGAGTATATTATGCTAAGTGAACTAAGTCAGTCAGATAAATACAAATACTGTATGGTTTCACTCATATGTGGAATTTAAGAAGCAAAGCAGATGAACATATGGGAAGGAAGACATTGAATTTAAATGTAAAAATGTGAAATCATTTTTTTTTTTTACATTTACGTGTCTCCATACTTCCTTCCTTCCTACCTTCTTCAGTGAGGCCTCTTCTCTACCTTTAGTTTTGGAGTTTGTTCTTTCATTCTTGAGATCTATTTCTGGGATATTTAGGATGATTTGATAGTTATCTATTTGTGTTTTGGGGACCATGCAAGCCTAGGGCCATCCTACTCGGCTGCCATCTTCCTCTAAAGGGAGTAATTTTTAATTAATTTTAGGAGACTTTATAGGATGTGGGGAACTTGTATGGCTCAGTCAGTTAAGTATCTGGCTCTTGATTTTGACCCAGATCATGATCTCATTTATTAGATTGAACCCCATGTTGGGCTCTGCACTCAACGGGGAGTCTTCTTTGAGATTTTCTCTCCCTCTGCCCATTCCCCCTGCTCACGCTCTCTCTCTCTAATAAATAAATAAACAAGTCTGTACAAAAAGATCACTTTATAAAGCAACACAAGGATATGTATATTCTTTGATATTATGATATTATGATCCTCTATAGGATCATATTTATCTTGGTGGAGTCACTAAACTTAGCATATGCTTATATGCTTCAAGACTAGTGTGTATTAGGTAATGACAGTTGTTCAGATATTGGAGGAGGTATATAAGTGAATTAGTGAAATACATAAATAATGTTTTTAAAGAACTCACAAAACTCATACTTTTTATAAAATCAGCTCTTAATGACAGCATTACTTTTTACTTTAAATGTTAAACCTTCAGTATTTTGCCTGGACTGGCCATACCCACAGAAATGAAAATGCTCATTGGCCAAAGTCTAACTTAAATGCCAACTTCTCCTGCTTGCCATTTGCTTACCACTCTTTCCTCCTGAGCTTTCACACCTAATTTATTTATCTCTTATGATACTTGGCATATTCTGCCTTATTTTATACTCACATGTCTGCCCATATCCTTGAGGGAAAGGATTTTATTTTGATATGTTAACCACAGCACCTAATGCCTTATACACACGTTCGATCAATATTTGTTGAGTACAGGAATAAATATATAATAAATGGTATATGAATAACATGTTTATTATTGATACTTTACCCTTATAATTATGTTTATATAATAGTATTTAAATCTTTTTAGTGTTCTACTTGTATTTTTAAGTATTAAAAATTCTGACTTAGACACTGTTGATTGGGGGTGCCTGGGTGGCTCAGTTGATTAAGTGTCTGCCTTCAGCTCAGGTCATGATCCCAGGGTCCTGGGATCAAATCCCACATCAGGCTCCCTGCTCAGTGGGAAGCCTGCTTCTCATTCTCTCACTCCCACTGCTTGTGTTCCCTCTCTTGCTGCTTCTCTCTCTCTCTGGGTCAAATAAATAAACAAATAAATCTTTAAAAAATAAAAATTAAAAAAAGACACTGTTGATTAGTAGAGTATGTCAGTGTATTTTTTAAATCTCAGTATTTTTCAATGTTACATTTTTAAATTTTATTAACTCTACTACCACTTTAAAATTATTGAGAACAAGAAACCTTTTTTAACGAATCAGAATATGAATGCTGTCCTAAGGAGGTGAAATGTGTTAACTAAGCACTTGAATTCATTTTCTTTCCATACTATGCCAGTTCTGATATTAATTCTTAAAAATAAAAATTCTAGTCTATTTGGAAATTACTCTATTTAGTAGCCTGTGGTTAGAATTTTATATATGTGTATATATATGTGTACACACACACACACACACACACACACACACATACACACATACAAAAAATGTGTAGGCTATTAAAGTGTTGATGTTTAGAATGTTAATTACAGTTTAAAATATAGTACTTTAAAATATGACCAGTGTTCTGTACAATTCGTCATTGATCCCTATTTCTTCAGAAATTTTTGAAGCAGCTAGGGGGAAAAAGACTGTGTATACAGTGTCTATTTATATGCAGTACTTAGTGCAGGGCAACACAGTTATGGGTACTGAATGAATATTATTTAATGATGACAAATACCTTTTATACATTTTTTAAAATTATAAATATGTTTGTTTTAAACAGAAGAAGACATTTGTAAGAGTATATATTGGGATATATAGAGTTGTTAAATAAGATGCTGCTGTTTAATACCATATGTTTTTTGTTTTAGCTTATCTATTTCAGGCAAGGACATGAAGCTTATGTGCGGGCTGTAAGGAAGTCAAAAATATACAGCCTTAATTTACAAAAACAGCCATGGAATAAAATGGATCTCAGGGTAAATTTGACATATTCATAAGTGTGCAGTTGAAATAGCTTTGGAATTAAGTTATTTACTTATATGTTTTTGTGTCATACATATTTCAGTGTTGATTGTGTGTCTAAGATAACATGATGTACGATACTCTGATACAATTGAGTGTTATGGGTCATATTTTATGTTTCCCGAAATGTGTATGCTACCTGTTGTCTTGGTTATTTGACCTAATTTCCTTCAAGCTTCAAATTATCTAGTGTATATGCCTTTCTATATTTGGAGCAAAACAGCAGTTCCCTGGTATGGATATTTTCCTCAGCAGCTTTGTACATTCTGGAAGCTCTGGAAGCTGAGTGCATGTGTGGACTACAGACCATCCTTGAGGTTACAGTGACATTAAAATATTAGTAAATATAAATCCCAAGAAACTCAGAATTTTAAGGTGTTTTATGGATTACCTATTTTGATATATTACCTTATAGCTACATTGTATTAAGTAAGATACATATGTTTATTTTTAGAGGAGTTTTTTCTGACTATAAATACATATTCATTCATTCATTCATCCATGTATACATAGATACATACAAAGAAACAGACATAAGTATACATACACCATCATTTCTAGTTAGGTTTATGGGTGTTTTCTTCTTTTATTTTTCCAAGTTGGAGAAAAAGAGACTAAAGAGCAATTTTAGAGTGGTTTCCAGGTAAATGGAGGATTGTTGTGTGATGATGTTTAGCAGGAAGGATACATGAAAGCAGGTATATTAATTTAAATAAAGATATAGACACTTGTAAAATTTTACATTAAGGTTGAAAGGTACCAAAGTATCTTATCAAGTGATCTTTACACAGTCATCTCCTGGTAGATAGTGATACCACCATCTGTTCTGAATCAGGTGAAAGCTGAGTTGTGGTTGTTTTTGTTTTTTTTTTTTTTAAATCAAGAATGAATAAAGCACGATTTTTCATTTTTTAAATTCTAACATTGTGGCTCTAGGAAATTATAGGAGGCAGCATTTGTGTGGGTGCAAGAGTGTGGGTTTTGGAATATAACCTGAATTTCAATCCAGATCTGATATATATACACATACCCAAGTACATAACTTTAAGCAAGTCACTATACCAATGAGGCTCAGTTTTGTCATCTGTTAAGTGTTACTAATAATCAGTTACAAGGATGGTTTGTAAAATAATATTCTGGGCATTAAAAAAATATAAGTCCTTTCCCCAAATGTATACATACATTTCTACCTGCCTTCTTATATACTGTATTTCTGCTGAAGGAGTAATTTTTAACTAAGAATCTTAACAGTCATCAAATGTCAGTTGCCCTAATATAAAATACTTAACACTTGGGCTCTTAAGCAGACCATTACTGATTGTGGTTTCCTTTCTTTCATTTTTCTCCCTCTTTGTCATTCTTGTCTTTCTCCATCTCTCTCTGTTTCTCTGTACCTCTACCTCTTTCCACCCTTATCTCTTCCCCCCACTCCTCACTCCTCCCTCCCTTCCCTACTTCCTCACTTGTTACTTGATTTTTAACTCCCCTGGGGAGTTCTTTCAAAATATGCATGACTAAGCTTGTACCCCAGACCTACTGAATTCAATTCTATAGGAGTAGGGTTTAAGAATATGAATTTTAAAAATGTTCTTAAGGGGATTCTGTTGCTTATCCTTGGTTTAGAGCCCTGCATTATGCTACAGCCTGCTGTTAAGTATTAAAGGTCAAGAACCATGTCTTATTGTCTTTAGCACTTTAGTGGAATGCTTAATATTTGGTGGATATTCAGATTTTTAATTGTTTGAAAAATAGTGAAATAATATGCAAATGTCAGGCAATTATTTATATTGAAAGTAATAATTTATTGGTATTCTCATGAATAGGAACAAGAATTTGTTAAGATTGTAGGAATCAAATATGAGGTTGGACCACCTACACTATGTTGCTTGAAGCTTGCATTTCTGGACCCCATTTCAGGCAAAATGACTGGAGAATCTTTTTCCATTAAGTGAGTAGCTATCTCTGTGTCTGTGTGTCTGTGTGTTTTAATCCCTATCATGTATTCTGTGGAGTACAGGGCTTAATGGGAGAGAAAATACTATAGCACTGTAGGCTTTAAATTTTTAAAGACCTGATGTGCACTGGGTGTATACGCAACTAATGAATCATTGAACACTACATCAAAAACTAATGATGTACTATATGTTGGCTAATTGAATTTAAATTTTAAAAATAAATAAATAAAAACCAGGGTTTAATGTTTAATTTCTGGTTTGTTTCTCCACATAATAGTGTGTGTGTGTGTGTGTGTGTGTGTGTGTGTAGATATAAAAACTTGCATGTGGGGGCGCCTGGGTGGCTCAGTGATTAGGCCTCTGCCTTCAGCTCAGGTCATGATCTCAGGGTCCTGGGATCGAGTCCCACATCGGGCTCTCTGCCCTGCAGGGAGCCTGCTTCCTCCTCTCTCTCTCTCTCTCTGCTTGCCTCTCTGCCCACTTGTGATCTCTCTCTGTCAAATAAATAAAATCTTTAAAAAAAAAACTTGCATGTGTATGCGTGCATGTGTGTAGCTAATACATATGTAATGTAGTGTGTGTGTGTGTGTGTGTGTGTGTGTGTGTGTAAACATTTAACCCTTGAACAATGTAACGGGTTATGGGCACTGACTCCCACACAGTTGAAAATCTGCATATATATATAGCTTTTGATTCCCCAAAACTTAGAACTAATACCTGCCGTTGAGCAGAAGCCTTACTGATAACAAAAACTTTTGACTAATATATATTATATTTAGTATTCTTACAATAAAGTAAGCTAGAGAAAATGAAACATTGTTAAGAAAATCATAAGGGATGGGATGCCTGGGTGGTTCAGTCAATTAAGCATCTGCTTTCGGCAGATCTAGTCCCGCACTGGGCTCTCTGCTCGACAGGGAACCTGCTTCTGCCTGCTCTGCCTGCTCTACCTGCCACTTTCCCTGCTTGTGCTCTATCTCTGACAAATGAAAAAAAAAATCTAAAAAAAAGAGAAAAAGAAGAAAATCGTAAGGGAGAGAAAATATATTTACAGTACTATATTTATTGAAAAAAATCTGCATATGGACCTGCACAGTTCAAACCCATATTGTTCAAGGGTCAATTGAAGATTATATATATATATATATATATATATATATATATATATATATATATATATAAAATATATGAGTGTGGTTGAGACATGGTAGTTTCTTTTATTTCTGTTAATAATAATAGGAATAGCTAATCAGTGGCTCATTTCTTAAAGTTTGAAATCTAAGGAGTTGAAAGAACGTCAATTCATACCTTTCTTAAAGAGGTCTTAATATATAATACCTTATATTAAGCTTTAAGGATCTTCATTGGTGTCTTTATGTTTTTGAAGTGATATAGTAGTAGGTGGGGGACTCCCAAACAAATAAAAGCAGATGGAGTTTAATTAAAGCCATTTGCAGAAACCTTGAGGCTTTCAACAGTTTTTAAATGGCTCCATATTAAACATATATCTCTGGATATTTAGTGACATATGGTGCTCTATTTGTATATTGATTCATATGTGCTTTATTTCTTGTATAGGTATCATGACATGCCAGATGTCATTGACTTCCTTGTACTACATCAATTTTATAATGAAGCCAAAGAAAGGAACTGGCAGATAGGTAAGTATAAAATTCTTACTTAATAACCATTAAGTTTGAAATAAAGTAACTTTTTAACTCCAATTTAATAGACATAAACTAGTTTAACATGTAATTGGTAAAGCTCTTAGCCAAATTAGATCAAATTAAATTTTCCTTCTCAGTTATGTTTAGGTGATTTTATGTACATCCTATGTGGCATATAGCCTCTAAACTCTCTGCAAATATCTAATCTGTTAGATACAAATGTGAATTACAAAGAAAATCATCAAATGTCAGTTGCCCTAGTATAAAATACTTAACACTTGGGCTCTTAAGCAGACCATTACTGATTGTGATTTTCTTTCTTTCTTTTTCTCCCTCTGTCTGTCTGTCACTCTTTCTCTTTCTCCGTTTCTCTCTGTACCTATACCTCTTCCTACCCCTTTTCTTTTCCTCTCCCCCTCCTTCACTCCTCTCCCCCTTCCTTACCTCCTCACTAGCTATTTGATCTTGGGCAAGTTTTTAATCTCTCTTTGTCCCACTTCCATTATCTTTATAGTGGGAATCATCAAAACACACCTATAAGGTTGATATGAGCAATAAATGAGTTGACATATAAGAAACACTTAAAATGGTACCTAAGTACTTAAAATTTATACTATGTAATTGTTTGCTATTAGTACTTTTAAATTCTCCTTTTTTATATGGGAGAAAATTTTTGTTCACAGTGGTTTGGTTTTATAATACTTATCCCTTTAGAAAATTAGTATGAAGAGATTTTTAAAGGCAAAAAGCTGAGGGGCACTTTGTTGGCTCAGTGGGTTAAAGCCTCTGCCTTCGGCTCAGGTCATGATCCCAGGGTTCTGGGATCGAGCCCCGCATAAGGCTCTCTGCCCAGCAGGGAGCCTGCTTCCCTTCCTCTCTCTCTCTGCCTGCCTCTCGGCCTACTTGTGATCTCTGTCTGTCAAATAAATAAATAAAATCTAAAAATAATAAAAGGCAAAAAGCTGAAAGCGATAAGGAAAAGAAACAACTGTAGTAACATATATAGTACAAGAAAATGTATGCTTAATGATGATCCTAAATAATTAATAAAAGATTATACTTGGTAGCTTTTATATAAGAAGACATAGACATGTTTGATTTATCTCAGAAAGATTACTAGTACTTAGAAATCAAAATCCTTAATGAAGGTAAAGTATAAAATTTACTTATCTGGAAAACTCAGGTTGAAACCTCTAGTAATGCTGCTTCTGTGTCCAACACAAAGTAGCAATTTAGAATGTGAACAAAGCGATTTTTCTCAAAAACATCCTTTTAAGAATTTCTAAAAACATTGTAGGTGATAGATTCCGCAGCATAATAGATGACGCCTGGTGGTTTGGGACTGTGGAGAGTCAGCAGCCTTTTCAACCAGAGTATCCTGATAGTTCTTTCCAGTGTTACAGTGTTCAGTAAGTACAGTTATGGTATTTTATGCCTGATATAATACTGTAGTACTATATGGACTTTCTGTAAACCCTATTAGGAATAACACCTTGTTAATTTGACTTATCTTTTTCTGACCTGTAAAGAAGTAATCATAGTACCTATAAGGAAAGAATTTTATGATAAACCTCTTGGTCCAATATACATGCTATAACAAAGCAGGAACTGAAGACTTATTTCTACCTCCCTTATGCCTGTATTTTCTTTTAAATATTTCTGTTTTAAACAAGAATTGCAAATATTATTTCAGGAAGAATACTAAAATTAATTCAATGTTTAAAGTAATTGTTATAGCTGGAATATAGCAATAAATATTAGTACCCAGTCTTTTATTTAATGGTATGAATTCTAGGTAGAGGTATCATATTTGGGTGTATTATTTGTCTACAACATTTACTTTAGTTCTTCATTAAATCCCATCACTGTAAGATTCCTAATAATGAAGCTTTCTTCTCAAGAATGATAAAGGTTTATTCTGTGAAGATTGACTTTTAATCTCCATATTGCTGATGAAAAGGGAATCATAAAACTTTGGAGATACTGTAATACTTAGTCTGTTAGGATAAAGTAGATTATCCTACAGAAAGAATTGATCTATCAAATTGACTTTTTTAACCTGAAAGACATTTTCCAAAAAGATCTTTTCATTCTGTATCCTGGCTTAATATTGAATATATGCTCGATTGGAACTTTTTTTAAAAAGCCAGGTAAAGGGCGCCTGGGTGGCTCAGTGGGTTAAAGCGTCTGCCTTCGGCTCAGGTCATGATCCCAGGGTCCTGGGATCAAGTCCCACATCGGGCTCTCTGCTCAGCGGGGAGCCTGCTTCCCTTCCTCTGTCTCTGCCTGCCTCTCTGCCTACTTGTGATCTCTGTCTGTCAAATAAATAAATAAAATCTTAAAAAAAAAAGCCAGGTAAAACTAAATGTAAGCTTACTGCTCTTTGTATTTCCTATTGGTGGACTATCCTCTATTTTTTTGTTTTCTCTATTAAAGGTTTATTACTATCTTTATGTAAGTGAAATTATACTTTAAGGAAAATTGTATTGCCCTTTTCAGAATTTTAACCCAAGAAGCCATGCAAATTATGCTAGTATATGAAAGTGTCATGTGAATTTCATTAGTATCTTATTATTTTTTAATAGCTGGGACAATAATGAGAGAGAAAAGATGAGCCCCTGGGATATGGAGCCAATTCCAGAAGGAAGTAAATATGCTTTTAAAAATGAATTATAATTCTTCTAAAACATATCAATAGCATAATATTGGAAACTAATGATTCCTGATTTTTCATCTTATACATAGCTGCCTTTCCAGATGAAGTTGGTGCTGGTGTTCCTGTGTCCCAGGAGGAACTGACTGCTTTGCTATACAAACCCCAGGAAGGAGAGTGGGGGGCTCATTCCAGAGATGAGGAATGTGAACGGGTTATTCAGGGCATCAACCACCTTCTTTCCCTGGGTATGGTGGCTGTGAAAGGATATTAGGAAGAAACAAGGAAAACCAGCAAAATTTTAAGTTCTACAAGAAGAAATACATTTTTTCACTGTACACTTTTAACTTAAGAGGCACTTTTAATCAAGTGTTTCTAGCTTAACATTAATATTTTGATATGTTTGGCCAATGTAATGACTGATAAATGTATTCTATTCTCTGGGGGCTTACAGTAGTAAAAATAGGCATGTAATTATCTTTTACTTTCTTGAATCACTTTGGCTCTCCAAGTATTTCCTGAGCCTGACTTTGGATGAGTTTTTTGGTAGATAGTAGATGAGTAATATATTTTACTCACATGCCTAAGCTATATTATCTAAAATGTATCACTTGAGCTATTTGGGATTTATCTAGAAAACATACCAGTTTAAAATTAAAACCAGTTCTCCTTTAATTAGTCTGATTTCACCTGATTTGAACCAGTGTGTCATTCATGATTCATAGATATTATGTCCAAATAAAGAGAATGACATTTTAACAATATTCATCTAATATTTGCATAATTGAATCATTATCATTTTAGTAATGTAGTATATTGCCCTCTCTTCTTATTTAAATATGATTTTTTTGTTTGTTAATATGAAATATTAATGTCTTTTACAACTACCTTTTCTTATTTTGGTAATATTATAGATTTTGCCAGCCCTTTTGCTGTTCCAGTGGATCTCAGTGCCTATCCCTTGTATTGTACTGTAGTTGCTTATCCAACTGACCTCAACACCATTAGGCGGAGACTTGAAAATCGCTTTTACAGGTTTGTTTAGTTTTATTATTTACTGTAAAGTTCGTAGCTTCACATCTTTTGTTTTCCTTTTTGTATGATGATACAGTGAGATCTGTATTTTAGTAGTGTAAAATAATCATTCAATATACCCACTCCAAAATTTCTTCTAAAAATTGGGAACACTCATTTCCCTTTATTCAACAGATTCTCAGTCTTCCAGAGTAAGAAGGAGTATGGACTAAAGAACAGGAATGAAATTTTGAGTAGCACAAATCACATGTGAAACAAAAACTATAGTTAACTTTAGTTTAATTAGAGGCAGATTAAATAATTTGTGGATTCATCATAATTAAGGTGCTACAGAAACTTGGAGCCTGATTAAATCCTCTGTTGAGGAATTAGGCAGCAGCTAGATTTAATTAACAGCTCCAAAATATGTTTAGATAAAGTGCCAAGTAATTTTTTTGTTGGTTTCATTTGGGAGTGGAGTAATTTTGAGAGAGTGGTAGAGAGCAGCTTTTGGTACCTCTCTTACCCCAAAGTCTACTATATCCTAACCATAGTTATCCATCCCAACATGAACTGGTTATAAATATAACCAGTTGGGTGTATTTTATAACATTACCTGTAATTTTTATTTAATAAAACATATCATAAAAGTAACTGGATAAAAATCTTTTTCTAAAACCTGGTTTCTTTTTTTCCATGATGTTCTCATTTCTTCCCTTGAAAACTAAACATTCTTTGGACTTTATCAAAACAGTGTTTCTTTGTGTTTATACTTAAATGGTTAAATCACTATTTCCCCATAATGTCCTGGGTCAGTTCTTTTTAATGTGAAGTTCAATGATTCTTAATGCTTACCTGTGCTCAAATACTCTAACTATATACCTTTATAAGTGAGCATCCATTATACACATGTATTAAGTCACATGCAGATAGTAGAACACCTTTGACATACCATGATTGAGTGCCTAGTTGTTCTATGTTGTATATTCTTAGAATAGACTCTAAATGTATCAACCAAGAGTAACAGGATATGTTTTTCTTTCATAGGAGAATATCAGCATTAATGTGGGAGGTGCGCTACATTGAGCATAATGCCAGGACTTTCAATGAACCAGACAGTCCTATAGTTAAAGCAGCCAAAATTGTAACTGATGTCTTACTTCGATTTATTGGGTAAGTAGCAGCTTTATCTTCCACAAGAGCTGATTTCTGATTTTAAAAAATATATATTGAAGTGTTTGACTTTCTTATTTCTTAGGGATCAGAGCTGTACTGATATACTGGATACTTATAATAAAATTAAAGCAGAAGAACTAAATAGTACTGATGCAGAGGAGGTGAGAATCAGAGTATGATTAATAGGCGTGAATTCCTTTTCTGTTTTTTGAAGTACAGTAAGTATTGTGTGTGTTATAACTGGCTATAAGCACTGAAGCTGATTTCTAAAAGCTGGCTGAGCACCTGCATCTTTTTATATAAAACTCTTTAACCTGTATTTAGATGATATATATTAGAAATGTAGTGGTGCTACAATTTTTAGTCAGAGACAGATTGCCAGTTATCATGTTTGACTCAGTGGGTTTCAGTGATGAGAAATCAACAATTCATTTTCCAGTCTTAAAAACAAGACAAAGCACTAAATATTTTAAGAGAATTATTAGTTTTTAGAAATTTTAGTAGGGATTCATTTTCTATGCAATATGTGCAATATATTAAAGTATTTTAAAGTTTTAGGTTTCAAAGTACATTTTTAGTAGTTTCATGGAATTGCTATTTAATTTCCTTTTTGGAAATTTGCAAGCATAAGCCAGTTTTCCTTAATGAAATTAAATTCATATTATCAGCAGATCTTCACATATCTGGTTTCCCCACCTAGCCATATTCCCAGTTTACATAAAACCATTTTTGATTGAAAGCTATGATAGAGAGAAGGAGAAACCAAGAAGAGGATGAAACAATAATGGAATGTGATAGTTCAAATATCTTTAGTGGAAAACAATTTGCCCCAAGGATGAGTGACTCAGACATGCTAGATTTTATTGAAATGGCTATTGTATAGAGATAATTACATGTTTATGTTGTCTCTACTGTTATTATCTAGAACAATAAGTCCCCAATGTTTTTTTCTCTATTTTTTGAAGTATAATTGATGTAACATACTAGTTTCAGAGGTATAACGAATGATTCTATATTTGCATATACTCGGAAGTATCACCAAAATGTGACTAGTCACCATACATAGTTACAGTTTTTCTCATGTGATAATAACTTTGAAAATTTACTTTCTTAGCCACTTTCATATATTCAGGCTAGTATTATTAAGCTATAGCCATTATGTTGTACATTATATACCCAAGACTCATTTATTTTGTAACTGAAGCTTGTACCTTTTTACCAACTACATGTGTTTTGCCCCCCAGCCTCACTCTAGTCCTCCCCATCTCGGGCAACTACAATCTGTTTTTGTGTTTCTGTAAATTTTTTTTTGGTTCCATATACAAATGAGGTTATAGATGCATTTCTCTTATTTCACTAAGCATAATGTTCTCAAGGTCCATCTATTTTTGTTCCAAATGGAAAGTTCCTTTTTTATGGCTGAATAATATTCCATTAGGTATATATTACTATTTTTTTGTTTATCCATTTATTCATTAATGCACAATTAAACATTGTTTCCATGTGTTGGCTATTGTAAATAATCCTGCAGTGAATATGAGAATACATATATCTTTTAGAGTTAGTGTTCTCATTTTCTTTGGAAAGGCCAGGAGTGGATTTCCTAGATCACAAGGTAGTTCTTTTTTCTTTTTTTTAATTTTTTGAGGATTCTCCATACCGTTTTCTGTAGGTTACACCAATTTACATTTCCACCGAAAGTGCATAAGTATTCCCTTTCTCCAAATCCTTACCAACACTTGTTATTTCTTGTTTTTTTTTTTTTTTTTGATAACAGCCATTCTAACAAGTGTGAGGTGATATCTAATTGTGGTTTTGATTTGCATTTCCCTGATGGTTATTGATGTTAAACGTCTTTTCATTTACTGGTCAGTCATCTATATCTTCTTTGGAAAAATGTCTATTTAGATTCTCTGCTCATTTTATTTGTTTTTGTTTATTTGTTTTTTTCTTTTGAGTATAGTTGACACACAATGTCATATTAGTTTCAGGTGTACAACATAGTCATTCAACTTCTTTACGTGTTACGCAATGCTCACCACAAGTGGAGCTTCCATCTATCATCATACAATGCTATTATAGTATTATTGACTGTATTCGCTATGCTGTACCTTTTATTCCTGTGATTTATTCATTCCATAACTGGAAGTCTGTATCTCCCCCTCCCCTTCACGCATTTCGCTCATCAACTCCATCCCCTTCCCTCCTACAACCATCAGTTTGTTCTCTGTCCTAGTGTTGTTTTTCACTCTTCCCTAAAAATGTATCTGGCTATATAACATTGTATAATCAGAGTTAAATGTTATTGATATAATAAGGAAAACTGAGATATTCCAATTAGATATTACCCTTCTGAAACTAGTGAAAAATTTGTCATTCTTACTTCTGATAATTTCTCTGACCTTTCATATAAATGTATTTTGACTCGGGATTTGATATAGCAAGAATTACTCCTCAGAGTAGCACTACTTATGTTAGTTAGAATGGAAAATTAAAAGCAAAATGTAATTCAACAACTTTCTTTTTTATCTTGGTGAGAACATTTAAGTTCTACTCTCTTGGCAACTTTCAATTATACAATACAGTGTTATCAGTCATGGTCACCATGTTTTACATGAGAGCCTTAGATCCTCAGACCTTACTTATTTTGCTGAAAATTTAGTTTTACCAGTCTCTCCTTCTTTCTCTCATCATTTAGCCCCTGGCTACCACTTTTCTATTCTCTCTTTCTATGAGTTTGACTTTTTTTTTTTTAAAGATTCATCTGTAAGTGATACCATGCAGTATTTGTTTTTTTCTGGCTTATTTCACTTAGCATAATGCCCTTTGGGTCCACCCACATTGTCACAAATGGCAGGATTACTTTTTTTTCTCAAGACAGAATGGTATTCTATTGTGTATATATCACATCTTCTTTATCCATCCATTTGTTGAGCACACTTAGGTTGTTTCCATATCTTGGCTATTGTGGATATTGCTGCAGTGAATATGTAAGTACAGCTTTTTCTCTTTGGTATCCTGTTTTCATTGCCTTTGGATAAATACTCAAAAGTAGGATTGCAGGATCATATGATAGTTCTATCTTTACTTTTATGTGGAATCTCCATACTGTTGTGTATAATGGGTATACCAGTTTACATTCCCAACAACAGTGCTCAAGGGTTCCTTTTTCTCCATATCTTTATGAATACTTACTCTTGTCTTCTTGATTATAGCAATTTTAAAGAATTTATTTATTTATTTGACAGACAGAGATCACAAGTAGGCAGAGAAGCAGGCAGAGAGAGAGGAGGAAGCAGGCTTCCTGCTGAGCAGAGAGCCCGATGCAGGGCTCAATCCCAGGACCCTGGGATCATGACCTGAGCCGAAGGCAGAGGCTTTAACTGACTGAGCCACCCAGGCACCCCGATGATAGCCATTTTAATAGGTGTGAGGTGATATTTCATTGTGATTTTGATTTGCATTTCCTTGATGATTAGTGACATTGAATAATAAAATAATAAATAATAAATAAAAAAATAAATAAAAATAATAAAAATGACATTTTTCATATGCTTCTTGACCATTTGGATGTCTTCTTTGTAAAAATGTCTATTCAATTCTAATGAACATTTTTATTTTTTTGTTATTTTAAGAGTATTTATTTATTTATTTATTTGAGAGAGAGTGAAAACATGCAAGCAAGAGAACACAAGCTGGGGGAGGAGCAGAGGGAGTGGGAGAAGCAGACTACCCACTGAGCAGGGAGCCCAATGTGGGGCTCGATCTCAGGACGCTAAGATCAGGACCGGAGCTGAAGGCAGCTGCTTAACCAACTGAGCCACCCAGGGGACCCTGATGCCCATTTTTAAATTGGATCTTATTTTTATTATTGAATTATATGAAATTATTATATGTTTTGACTATTAAACCCTTATCAGATATAAGATTTGCAAATACCTTCTCCCATTCTGTAGGTTCCCTTTTCATTTGTCAATGGTTTCCTTTGCTGGGCAGAAGCTTTGTAGTTTGAAATTGTTTACTTCTGCTTTTGTTGTTGTTTGTTGCTTTTGGATTTTGTCTAATCCAAAAATATTCATTGCCAGGACCAATTTCAATGCACTCAGGCCATGTGTTGTTGTTTTTTGTGTTTTGTTGTTGTTCTCCCTCCCCCCCGCCGGCCCCGCTAGGGGTTTTAAAGTTTCATGTCTTACACTCAAGTCCTTAAGCCATTTTGAGTTGAGTTTAATGTTTGGTATAAGATAATAAGTTTCATTCTTTTTTTTTTAAATTTTTTCAGTGTTCTAAGATTCATTGTTTATGCACCACACCCAGTGCTCCATGCAATACTTGCCCTCCATGATACCCACCACAAGGCTAACCCCAACCCCCAATACCCTCCCCTCCAAACCCCTTAGTTTGTTTCTCAGAGTCCACAGTCTCTCATAGTTCCTCACCTCCTCCTATTTCCCCCAACTCACTTCTCCTCTCATTCAACATATGTCCTCCCTGTTATTCCTTATGCTCCACAAGTGGGTGAAACCATATGATAATTGATTCTCTCTGCTTGACTTATTTGACTCAGCATAATCTCCTCCAGTCCTATCCATGTTCATGCAAAAGTTGGGTATTCATCCTTTTTGATGGAGGCATAATACTCCATTGTATATATAGACCATATCTTCTTTATCCATTTATCTGTTGAAGGACATCATGGCTCTTTTCACAGTTTGGCACCTAGGGCCATTGCTGCTTTGAACATTGGGGTACAGATGGCCCTTCTTTTCTGCATCTGTATCTTGAAGTAGTGTAATTGTAGGGTCATAGAGTAGCTCTATTTTTAATTTCTTAAGGTATCTTCCCACTGTTTTCCAAAGCGGCTGCACCAACTTGGATTCCCACCAACAGTGTAACAGGGTTCCCCTTTCTCCACATCCTGTCCAACACTTGTTGTTTACTGTCTTGTTGATTTTGGCCATTCTCACTGGTGTAAGGTGGTATCTCAATGTGGTTTTGATATAAATTTCCCTCGTGGCTAAAGATGATGAACATTTTTCATGTGTCTGTTAGCCATTTGTATGTCTTCCTTGAAGAAGTGTCTCTTCATGTCTTCTGCCCATTTGTTGATGTGATTATCTGTTTTTTGCATGTTGAGTTTGAGGAGTTCTTTATAAATCTTGGA